AAACAATTTTCAGAAATTTTGGGGTCCAGGGTTCGAACTTACACCCGGGCTTTTTCCCGGGGGTTCCTGTTTATTTTTCTGACAGGAAGTATGGGATCGCAACCGCGGGCTCGCGTGCCGTCAGCCTGGGACCAGGGGGGAGCAGGGTGCACCAAGGAGCATTTCAGCCCCCTAAGCCCAGATGTCCCCAATGGTTGCAGATCACCGCAAAGGTCCGCCATCCCCCGTTTCTACAAACTACTTCGGGTGGGAAGTGGCGACGGCACGGGCGACGAGGGCGGCGGCGGGGATGGCGGCGGTGGCGAGGCGGCGAGGGAGGCGGAGGCCGGGAGGCGGAGGCGATGGTAGGGGCGGAGCAGCGCGCGAAGAGATGGGGAGTGGGGGAGTGGGAGTGTGGGCGGTGGCGGCGGCGGCGGCGGCGGCGGCGGGTGGCGGCACGCTTTGGCAAGCGGCGGCGGCGGCGGCGATGCGTGCGGCGTGCGGTTTGGCGGAATGGCAGCGGCGGCGGCGGCGGCGGCGGCGGCGGCGGCGGCGGCGGCGGCGAGGAGGTCGGGGAGGGAGAGGGGAGAGGCGGCGGCGGCGGCGGCGAGGAGGTAGGGGAGAGGGGAGAGGCGGCGGCGGTGCCTGCACGAGCTTGAGAATGAGAATGTCCTCGTCGGGGCTCCACGCGTCGGTCTCGCGCTTGTCGCGCTTGGCGGCGCGCTCAACCGCCCGCCTGCTCGCCGCCGCCTGCTCCTCCAGCAGCTCCTTCACCACCGTCTGCCCTGAGCTGGAGACGCTGCTCGCCGGAGACCCGTTCGCGTCAACGACGCTGAACAGAGATCCGAAGAGCGCGCTCATCTCGCCGGCGCTGCGCATGCCGCCCTCGAAGGAGAGCGTCGACGCCGACGAGCGCCCGTCATCGCTGCCCGAGTCCGCCCCATGGAAGGACGGGCGGCCGCTGTCGAGAAGGGCGCCAAGAGTGTCGCCCGACGACCACGAGGAGGACTGCGCGCCGCTCCTCCTGCGCAGCACGCCCGGCGGCGACGCGTCTGCGTCGAAAGACGCCGAGCGCTGGCCGTGCAGGCGCTTACAGCCAGCCGCCAGCGGGGCGGAGGCCGTGGCGCTAGCTGCCATCATCCACCTTACTGGCTCTTGAGAGGATCCCCGCGCAGCGGTAATTCTTTTTTAGCGAAATTCTTTTTAGGACTTCCGGAGCGGGCGCGAGCTGTGTACGCCAACTCAGGGTGTGTGGCAGCCAGCTGGCTGTGTGTCTTGTGAGCTTGTTTGTGCCTGTGTGTCGTTCGTGCGTGTCGTCATCATCTGTCTTGCGTCCACCCATACCGCGTTGGTGTCCAGTCCGAGCCTGGCTGTTCTTCACCTTTCTACCTACCTACCTACGAGCTGTGTTGGGGCGGGGGGCGGGCCGCGGGTCCGGGTACTCTTTCGGGTGTACCAGAAGCTGTGCGAGGCGCCCCTCCTCTTCACCACCGGTGATGACCTGCGAGGCGCGCGGCGAGGGCGAGGGCGAGGGCGAGGGCGAGGGCGAGGGCGAGACGAGTGTGTGTGTCTCGCGCCTTGCGGGGGGGGAGCGGAAAGGAGGAACCTCTCTTCCCAAGAGCACCACTCTTGGAGCGCCGCCACTACCACCCAGAGCGCTGCAAGCAGCGCCGGGCAATGACGGCTTACCGCCCACCCAGCCCCCCCTCGGCACACCCCGGCAGCCAATGTGTGACGGGTCGAACCCGCTAAGCCATCCCGCAAGCGGAATGGCCCGCCACTCGGACCCGCAAGCGGGTGTACGAACCGCGAGCGGCTCGCACTCGTGACACGCAGGCGTCCGACAGACGGCGCCGGGGCTAAGCGACCGAAGAGGACTACGGCAAGAACCGCACACCACCCGCTGACGAGCGCTCGCGGAACTGGTCCGCGGCGCCCGCCAGGGGCGTGCGCGAGACAGGGCTCGAAGCCCTTTTCTGTGAGCAGGGATTCCCTCCCGGCAGGGGTTGTGGCGGAGAGCCGGCATGGGGATCGCCGGCCCCCACCCAGGGGGTGCCCCTGCCAGGCGCCGCAAGCGGTGCCCGACAGGGGCGGGTGCCCCCACCCCGAGGGGTGGGGGCGGGGTCGGGGCCCAAAGTGATTCGGCCTATCGCCTCGGCAAGGTCCTCGGTGCGATTCTCCACGGTGTCGTCGATACATTCATCCACCCTGCGCCCAACAAAATTTTCAAAAACGCGGCCGGCGGGCGGCCACCCGCCATCCCCCCCCCCCCTTCACAGCTGCAGTGCCCGCGGCCCGCAAATAGTTGCGGCTTTTGCGCGAGGGAAATAAATAAATAAACAAAGAGTTGAGAAAAGCCAAATTCCAAATCGCAAACATATAGAATAAATAAAACGGTCAAACTCTGAGACGAGATGGGATTTGGGGACATGTGTCCCTGCCCCGCATGATCTTGGTGTGAGGACCCTCAATCCGTCTCCTCACCCCTCGTCACAACCCGACAACAGAAGACGAGCGGCAAGAGTTGGGGCCGGGGGCGCGGGAGAGCCGCTGCGCAGCGTGGACGCGCACACACCGCTCTAGCGCTCTTGCTCCGCTCGCCACCTCTCGCAAAGGTCCAAAGTCATAGCACCACCTTCTCCGGCAAGGGTCCGCGAGGGAGAGTTTTTTTTTAGTTGTCAACAGTCGTGTGTAATTTTGCTTCGGGCAGCTGCGTGTTTTTTTTCTGCAAAGCGCACGTTACTGCGCACGCGCGCGATCTATGTCAGTCCCGCCGCTCTCACACTGAATAGTGCGCCCGGACCGCCCAATGCGTCTTCCCATCGATGAAAATAACAAGATTTGCGACCAAGGTGTTGCCCGATCCGGGCTTCTTGGCCATCTGCACCTCCTTGAAGGTGAGGTTGACTCGAGGATGCTTGTCACTGAAGCTCTTCGCGAGGGCTACTATCTTGGGACGCCACAGTTCTCTAGCTTCTGCTTCCTTTTCTGCCAAGTGGAGAAGCTTGCCCTTCTCCACTGTGCGCGGGAACTTGCAAGGGCAGCGAGCGTAGCACGTCAGCAACTCGACAATGTCTGCCGTCTTCCTGCAACATCCTTGCACTCCGGTCCGCCAGTATGTTTCCCAACTCAGAATAGTGTCAACCTCCTCGAGCCATATCGCAAAGGCCTGACGGCTGGCGGTCTCCACCTCTTGTGTAAACTCCTCCCAATGCAGCGGTTCAACGCCGGCGGCTAGCATGGACCTGGGCGTGTTGACTGGGATGCAACTCTTTGCCTTTGGTCGCAGCTCGATGATGTAGTCGGTTGCGGAGAGACCATCGGCCTCTTTCTCCGTCTCCATCAGCGCTGCTGGGAAGTGCGGCAGAGAGGGCCACCGCAGGATCGACGCGATGGCCTGCTGGGACGCTCACGAGCAGAAACAATACGCAAGCCGACCGTCGCTAGGACGACGCGATGGCCGCCGAGCTTGGATCGATCGCCACGCGCACGGGTCCGGCCCGCCAGTTGGTCGACTTGCCCCTCAGTTCGGGACGTACGACTTCGTTGTTCACACCTTTGTGGATTGAGAAGAAAGTACCCTTATTAAGTTGATTGACAAGAAACGCAAGTTCATTCACAGAGCCACGCGCCGGCCAGAAGGCCCGTGTGCAGGGCCCGGAGTGCGCATGTGCGTTGATGTTCTGCTCGATCGATAGCGAGAGCAGTTGCGAGTGGTTGCACGCACAGCAGACATAAAAACAAGGATTCCGATAACAAGGATTCCGATTCCGGTAAATCCCGAATGTTCCGCGCAACTGCATTTCGTCGAACGCGTCGACGCACCCCGACCTCAAAGGCCACGGCCATGGAGCAGCCCACCTCCTCTGGATTTGGAGCGGGCCGACCAAGAGTGGTGAGCGTTCCTCTCTTGGAGATAATGGCCCTCGTCGACGACATCACCGAGCGTGACGAACCGAGCGGCGTCCTGTGCAGATGGCTGAGCTGCGTCGCTCCAGCTTCTGTCGGCCGCTGCCTCGGCTCGCTGCCTGCTGCTGCCCGCCGGTCGTTCGACGCACCAGCTTGGGCGGGCTCACACAGGGTCAGTGCGCGGTAAGAATGTGTCACATGACGCGACGCGACGTCCAAGGCGCAAGGGCCTCACAGTTCATCCTTGGTTCTCCTTTTTTCCGCGGGTCATACCATCGATCCTCTGATCCTACCGCACAAACGGCCACGCCCAAACGTCCATGGCACTGGAACTCGACCGGGTTGTCTTATGTGTGTCTGCAAACTGCAAGACGCTATCGGCTTAAAGCCGTAGTACTCGTATGTGCATCGATCTCCTCAGCCGAGCGCGGTCGCGCTCGAGCTCTCTGTGCGCGCTCTATAGTGTATAGATCTAAACCCCTCTTCGCCCTGGCTGCGTCCTGCGAGTGCGTGTGCAACGGGTCAAACGGCTTAAGAGGACTTGATGTGTGCCAACCACCTTGTTCCGTGTCTGTGTCTGGTACGTTCTCCCCACATATCGGCCGGAAGCCACACAACTCACAAGCGTCTCCTCGCACAGAGACACACTCTCTCCACTCTCGAGAGCGCGGCGGCGGGCTCGGCGGCGGAGGCCGTTGGCCAAAGCGGCGCGCGGCGAGGCCGAGGGGGGTGTGGCAAGTCTCCCCCCTCAGAAGGGGTTGGCCCACCGCGCCAGCCGCACCAGCGGCCTCGGCACCATCGGCGGCAGCAGCCGCGGCTCGCCGACGGCAGAGGCGCGGGTGCCTATGACATAATGAGGGCTATGATAAGGCGAGGTGCGGTCTACGCCTCCCGCAAGGGGCCAGCCCGTCGCATGCGTCGAGAGTGCCTGGCGTGGGCGGCGTCGCAGTGTCGGGGAGGAGGGAGCCGGCGCGAACGAGCGCGAGGAGCGAGCGCAGCAGCGGGTCTGCGCCCGAGAAGGGGTCCTCGAGGATCGGATCCGTGTGGGACTTGCCTATGACAGGAGTGAACAAGACAAGTCTCTCTCTCACACACAGCAGACAGGCTCTGTGAAAGGAGTGGCCCAGATGGCTCAGGAAAGGGCATGGTGTGATGGGGTGGACTGACAGGGAAGGAGTGCCTAGTTGCGGAGGGGTGGATCTCGAGGAGCCGAGATGAGTCGAGATCCGCCGAGATCGGGCCCGCGTGCGACCTGCCCGCGGTGTGAAAGACGCCGATGTCGGGGTGTGAATGCGGCCTCGCGCACTTGGGGAGGGTCGCGTGCCCACAACGGTAATCTCACCCGCCAAGGCAGGTGTGCACTCTGCTAGTACGTGTGTGCTCACAACCACTACACTGTGGGGGGTGCCCGAGCATGATGTCTGTGCGCGTCTGTGCGTGTGTGGGACAGACGTTGTTGTCCTATGCGCGCGGCTACTTGCGGGGATCGAAGACGTCACAGCAGCAGGAAGCAGCAGTGCCCACAACGGCTGCGGGCACAGGGAAGACTGCGGTGGTGGAGCACAGCAGAGGGCGTGTCTTGCCAGGTGCGTGTTGGAGGACGACGTCCGCACTCCACTTCTAGGGCGGCTTGCCGGGGTACAGCGTCAGCCGCACCTCGCGAGCACCAGCCTCGCGCAGCGCCTGCTCACAGCAGCGTGTGTGAAGAGGCGCTGCTCACACCCCTCCAGCCTGCACCAGCCTCGCCACAGCGCCTCGTCCAGAGCCCTTGAGTGGTGGCACGGCGCAGTGCGGTCGGCGCGGCCATGGTACAGCGCCATTCGAGGCCACCGGTCTGGGGGGGGCGACTGCCCGGCGGCGGTAGCTGCCCTCACCAGCTGCAGAGGGGAGCAGCCCGCCACGTCGCCCTCGGCCATCGCCGAAATGATGCGCGGGTCGATGCCGTTGGCGTCCAGCTCCGCCATGCACGCCTGGAGACAATACGGCCCGGAGACACTCGCATCTCTCCCCACATCTCCCTATATCTCCCGATATCTCCCCTATGCCTGCAAACTACGGCCCGGATGCCTGCAAGTACGGCCCGGAAACACCCGCGGGGGAGATATGGGCAGATACGGGGAGATACGGGGAGATACGGGGAGATGTGGGTAGATATGGGCGGGATGGGTGGACGCGTGCCTGCAAGTCATACGGCCCCGACACTCCGACCCACCACTCGATGCGACGCAGCACCTATTCGCAGCTCCTCTCTTCACAGCTCTTCTCTTCACACCGACCCGCCACTCAATGCGACGCAGCACCTCGTCGTCGGCCGCAACGGCGGCTGCAGCGCTGCTGCCCATCGACACGCGGCGGCCGCGGCCCTCCCAACCGCCCTCCCCACCGCCCTCCTCCTCCTCCTCCTCCTCCTCCTCCTCCTCTTCGTCCGTCCGCCGCCTCATCTGGCTCGCCGCTGAGCCGATGCTGCGCCATGCCGCGCTGCCAGAGGGGCGCGGCGAGGCGCAGGACGGGGCGGCCGCCGGAGGGCCTACAGCCGAGAGACAGCCGAGATGCAGCCGAGATGCAGCCGAGATGCCGGCCGACTTCGCCTCTGCCGGAGCACCACACACGAGCTGTACGAGCAGCAGAGCGGTGAGGTGTGCGCCGGCGGACTGGCCGACCAGCGAGACGCGCCTAGCCGCAGCACGGCTGCGCGTCATGGCCAGTCCGTCCGCCGCGGCTGCGCGCTCTCCCTCGTCACGCTACGAGCGGCGGACGCGCCCGTGCACGTCGCCACCCAGCGACGCCGCGTTGGCCTGCGCCCAGCGCAGCGCGCGCTCGACGTCGGCAACCATCTCCGGCATGGTCGCTTGGGGCCAGTTGCGGTAGTCGATCGCCAGGCAGAGCACGCCGTTGCGCTGCAGCACCCACCCAAACAGGAAGGCCCACATGCGGTACCCAATCATCCACGCGCCGCCGCACACAAAGAGCACCGTCGGAAAGCCGTCCGGAGGAGGCGGGTGCACCGCGGCAACCGGCGAATAGACGTCGAGCTTGTGGCGGGAGGAGGGGCCGTACCGCACGCCGCGGCTGACGCCGGCGCCGTAGAGGTAGTGCGCCGTCGCCGGGATCCACCCGGGGATGAGCAGGGCGACAAAGAGAAGGAGCCTCACCACTCGGATCAGCACTTCATAGAAGACGCTCCGCTTTGCCCACAGCAAGAGGACAAAGGCGACTCCGGTGGAGAGCGCCGCGTCGAGCGCCTCGCCCAAACGCTCCAGCGCGTGCACGCCGCGCCGGTCGGCGGTCGCGAGGGACGCCCCGGGCCGAGGCGAAGCCATCGGCAACGGCGAGGGCGGCTCGCGAAGCGGCGATTGCGAGCCCGAGGACCGTCGCGAGTCAGCGGAGCGGAGATAAATCTCGTCGAGCTTGGGTGTACAGAGCGGCGACGGAGACTTCAGCGAAAGCGACGACATCGCCGCGATGCGGACGCGCCACAAAAAATTTCTCTGTTTAAGCAGACGGGATGGCCTGGGATTCTGTCGTGAGGGTGAACCCCTGCCCAGCCCCCCTCCGTGTCGCGATGCGCTCCCCGCTCCCGTTCCCCTGTGTCCCTGATCGTCCTACAAGATCCTGCTTGTGCAGGTGGGGACCCTGTCCTTCTCCCACCCCTCGTTTGGCGTGTCCGTTGTATTTATTTATTTATTTATGGGAAGGCAACTTCAGTCGGCCTGAGTGATGTGTACGCCCACTCAGGATGTGTGGCAGCCCGCTGGCTGTGTGTCTCGTGAGCTTGTTTGTGTCTGTGTGTCGCTCGTGCGTGTCGTCATCATCTGTCTTGCGTCCACCCATACCGCGTTGGTGTCCAGTCCGAGCCTGACTGTTCTTCACCTTACTACATACATACATACATCGGCCTCAGTGGCGCGTGTTCTCACCAGAACAGCTCGTCCGCGGCGCTGCGGCGGAACCCTCACAGATGTATGAAAACCGTTTCGGAAAAATCGTTTCGTCCGACCGCCGCAAGAGAGCGACCGACACGGCTCACGGACGGCTATCCGTAGGGTGACGAAGACAGCGATGGGTTGTGGTGCCAGCCACCAGCAGCCTTCCTTCGATATAAACACCGCAAAAGTTACAGTGCGAGGCCCTGGCGTAAAGAACAAAGCGGCGGTATCTGCGGGAATCAAGTCCAAAGACATCACCTTGACGAATATGAGTGACAAGGAACTGATCATCGTTGTCACGTTTGATCCGGAGAGCCTCAAGTTGACAAAGAAGAACACTGGTATTGGGGCCGAAGCCTCAGGCGGAGCGGGGCCAGCTGCGCTGTCTGTGAGTGCATCTGCTGGATATGAATTTCAGGCGCGCGGAGATTCGGCAAAGCCACAGAAGATGCGCGTAAAGCCTGGTGCGATGAGCAAAGTCAGCGTCAAAGCTGCGGCGTATATCTCCGTGGTCTTCTACGAGGATGGGCTATTCAAATTCGCTATCGAGAATAGACTGGTCGAAGTCGGCGCGGCTTTCACCGTTAGAGGCGCTCACTTAGAGTCTGAAATCCCTTTCAAGAGCATGCCCAACGAGCCAGAGCTTTAGGACTTATTACTTGAATTTCACACGCCATTCTTGAAAAAGGCTCTCACAACGGGTCATGCATGCTTAACGCATCAACAGCAACACTGGCCTTCCGGTTCACCTCGGCGCGGATCATCTCGCGGCGACTCCCCTCCCTCCGTCGGTCCATTCCCTCGGGTACTCCAGCCTCCGACGGGGCGGCGCTGTGGGTTCCCTAGGGTCCGCGTGGGTCCGTGCGGTGACGGCCACGCCGGCGGCGGGGGTGGAGGCGGTGGCCGGGGGGAGGCGGGTATGGCGGTGAGCACGGGGGGCGGTCCCGGTGTGGAGCCTCGGGGGTGGCCCCTTGACCCGGTGGCCGTCCCAGCCGCGGCTCCACGCGTCAGTCGTCTACCGCACTCCAGGGGAACCTAGCCCTCACTTCCCCACGCGGCGGCGATCGCTTTCTTCCTTTGGCGGTTGTGTGTACTCCCTGAAGGCCTCATCGATCGACAATCCCACTGCCTTCCGAGTGACTTGAGGGGCTACAATTGGCGTGCGCTCTCCCCACCAACCACTCCACTCCCACCTCAGGCGCTCGAGATAATGGCGATGAAAGTATTCAACAAAAAAATTCCCGACACAGGTACCAAAAGGAGCACAGCAGACGGTGCAACAATATACCTACCCTCGAAATCTCCTGCGCAGCTTCTGCGACACCTTCGTTGGTTCCCGGTGCGTTCGTACGTCAGTAATCACACGCACTCCCTCTTCTCGACTGCTTGATAGTTAGAGGCTGCGCAGGCCGTCCCGTTTGCTGTTTGCATAAAAAAGCCTGTCTGGCGGTTTTGCGCTCAGCGCTGCGCGCGCGCGCGCCGGGGCTGTCTCACTCACGTGCCGCAATATGTGTCACACACGGCGGCTTCTGCCACCTCTCGATTGGCTCCACTTTCTACGCACACCTACCGGGGAAG